TGTCGCCCTGTTGATGACGTCAGCAACGCGGTTTAATCGGGCGCGCTTTAGTCGAGCGCGGTTTTGTCGTGCCACGGTCACAAAGGTGCTTTTCAAAAGGCAACTGGACTTTGTTTTTTCCCCATGAAAAATGTTTCACTTCTCATACAAGAAGCTTCTTCAGTTCTGGCTGAGTGGTGAGGAATGGAAAGATGTTTATTCTTAGCTAGCTTTCTGAAAATCATTGAGGCCACTTGTGGGTTCTGTACTCTCGTGACCCGACAAATGCGCGCCCGACAAATGCGTGACAAAACTGCGGCGACAAAACTGCGACGTCAAAAGCGCGCCCACTAAAGTGCGCCGATAAGACCGCACCCACAAAAGCGCGATTAGAGTTTCTAGGTTAGGGTCAGGATTAGGGTAAGGTTCAGGGTTGTTAATGTTGTTACTGTTGTTTTTGCGTTGTTTGCTGATGGCGCGCTTTTGTCGGTGTGCATTTGTTGACACACTTTAGTGGGCGCGCTTTTGACGTCGCGGTTTCGTCGCCACGGTTTCGTCGGCGCGCATTTGTCGGGCGCGCATTTGTCAGTGAACCCTGTACTCTCAGGGTCACCTGAATTAGGAGTGCAGGTGGGGCTGGTACCTTCTTGGTCCTCTGAAATTATAGACAGGGGATAGGTGATGTATCCCACCCCCCTCTGTTGAGAGAGGGCTGTTCCATTTTAATATAAATGACCTGTTTAGAGAAATAAAACAACACAAATGCATGGCACAACACAGGAGGAACCAGAACGAGATTCAGAAGGCCATCGGCATTTGAAAGAAAAAGGTCACTCTTTTGAAGAGAGCAAAATCCACATGCTGAGCAGAGAGGACCACTGGTTTGAAAAAGGATTGAAGAGGCCAATTATATTAAAACTCAAAAGCTTCTTCTCAACAAAGGGGTGGGTGGGGATATGACATCACCTGTTCCTTGTCTACAACACAATCCTTTCAGCCGTACCAAGAATGTTCCCCATCCATTTGCACTCTGATTCAGGTGACTTTGGGAGTAGAGATAAACCCTCAATTCTCAGAGAGCTAACAATAAACCTTCAGAGTGCTAACAGCTAGTTAACTGCTAGGAATATAAATCCTTTCATTCCCCCACAATTCAGCCAGAACTGAAGAAGCTTCTTGGATAAGAAGTAAAATGTTTTTTTCAAGGGGAAAAAAACAAAAACAAAATTCAGTTGCCTTTTGAAAAGTATCTTTGAGTTATTCAGCAACACCTAGCGAATCACAAATTTTTCCAATTCGGAATTAAATAATTCTTTAAAAATCATTGCTATCTTTTTTTTTATAAAAAAAGAGAGCTCTCTTGCTGGGTAGAGATATATCCATTGTATTTATCTTCCAACATATAGAACCCGACTAAAATTACTACTTTAAACACACAGCAACGATGTGTGATGTCATTGGATGGGGGAGGATCAATTTTCTTAAGATTTCTTTTCAGCACCTACCCTCAACCGGTTCACCGACAAATGCGCGCTCGACAAAAGCGTGCCGATGAAACCGCGGTGAGAAAATTGTGAGTTCGAAATCGCGCCGACGAATGAGCGCAGAAGCACGCCGACAACAGCGCGCAGATAAAAGCGCGCTCTAAACCTAACTCTAACCCTAACCCTTACCTAACCCTGAACCTAACCCTTACCTTAACCCTAATCGCGCTTCTGTCGGCGCTCTTTTGTCAGCGCGCCTTTGTGGGCACGGTGTCGTCGCGGTTTTATTGCCGCGGTTTTGTCGGCGCGCTGTTGTTGGGCGTGCATTTGGCAGGTCATGCCCTCAACCAACCCACACAACTCCCCAACCAGCACTTCACTTCCCAATGACCCTCGCCTGGCATGTCGTCCCCATCACAAGACCCTCACCTGACATGACCCACACCTGACCCATCATAAGACCCTCATCTGATGCAACCTCCCCATCACAAGACCTATTGACCACAAAAAGCACTTATAAATAGAGGAACAGTGACCCTGACACCCCTGTATGGTAACAAAATGTTTGGAAACCAACTCACAAGCTCAGAGAACGAACCTCCATCCTCACTTCTTTTACTCTTTGGTGCATATAAGAGTGAGCTGGAAACAAACATCTCCTATTTCCATATTTAACAATCTTTCTAAAAATCTAAAATATGACTTGAAATTAGGTCACCAAAGTTTGCCAGAAAAATCGCCAAAGGTCAACCACAGCTGGCCCTTCACGTATAACCACAACTGAGTCCAAAATTCCTGTTAAGTGAGACATTTGTTGAGAGAGGTTTGCCTCATTTTACAACCTTTCTTGCCACAGTTGTTAAGTTAAATCACTGCAGTTGATAAGAGCTGAGGTGGCGCAGTGGTTAGGGTGCAGTGCTGCAGGCCACTTCAGCTGACTGTTATCTGCAGTTCAGCGGTTCTAACCTCACTGGCTCAGGGTTGACTCAGCCTTTCATCCTTCCGAGGTGGGTGAAATGAGGACCCAAACTGTGGGGGCGATATGCAGACTCTGTAAACCGCTTAGAGAGGGCTGAAAGCCCTTTGAAGCGGTGTATAAGACTAACTGCGATTGCTATTGCTATTCTGGGAATAAATATTTGCCGTCTTCAACCTTCATAAAGTCTTGCAAACCCTCTTACCTCCTTTTCTTTTGATCTATAGCTTCTGCTTAGTAATTTAACAAAGACAAACCTGGGTAGAGTGGCATCCAATGATAATAGTGTTTCCCAAAGGCCTTGGCATTGAAACTGGCACACTGATGTTGCTTGAAGCTGGCTGTGTTGGCAGGGCAAAGCTGGGGAGAAAAGAAAAATAAACCTGGTGCTTGTTCCAGCGCCTCTCTATACCAGATTGACATGGAATGATTTCCAAATGTAACCAGTGTTTCCCAACCTTCGCATTTTAAGATCTGTGGACTACAACTCCCAGAATTCCTCAGCCAGCTGGGAAAGGTTGCAAAATGATGGACTGAACAATCCGAATGATAATTATTTAATTGCATGAAGA